TCTGAGGGTCCGGCTATCCTGTGTCTTCTCCTCATCGCGTGCGACTTCCAGCAAGACATAGACTGCAGTCATGGTACACCAAATTTCGCGTCGTTCTGCCTCTTTCGAATCGCGTTGAGCATCAGGTGTGACATCTGCGCCGCATGCTCGCAGGAGCGACGAGCTGAGTGCGTCCACGATGGTCTGTACGCCATTACTCTCAGAGAGTAGGTGCACATTGCGCTTAATGAGCGAGGCCTGCAGGCCTGACTTGATGTATGCAGAGTTGCGCGCTGCAGTCGTGCTCGACTCTGTTGCCTCGCCCGCGGCTGGGTCAGGCAGCCCTGCAGTCTCATGCCAGCACCCAAGGAGGACATAGACCAATGCCTCCAGCTTCTTCAACCTCAAGACAGGGTCGACTTCCTTGAGTCCCCCCAATAGATGTCGCACGAAGTCCTCGTGTTGTGTCGTTGTCGCCGAGGCCCAGTCCAAGCCGTCCTCGCCATTGGACACGTCGTTTAGGCCATGAAATGCGCTCCACTCCAGTGAGTAGGACGCCTGGGTCTTGAGCAGCATTGCCTGCTCCTCGACTGCATACGAGAACCACTCCTCCAGCTCCTCTTCGAAGCATGATGCGTCATCGTATGTGAAAGCGTATGGGGCGGGCTCGACCTTGGGTATGCCCCTCACGAGGTTCTGCAGTTGCGCGAGCGAAAGCGAGTCGTTCTGTGGCGTGTCGGGCGGCGGTACAGGCGGTGCGGGCGGGGGCAGGTTCGGCGCGGGCGTAGGAACTGAATTGCCTCGTTGCAGGCCGGGGCGGGCTGGCAGGGTGACGGGAGGCCCGGCTTGGGGCTGGTCCTGGTCCTGTTGCAGCAGTATGCGCTGCTGCTCGGCGGTATCGAGGGGCAGATTGAGCTCTTCCTCGGGCTCCGCCTCAATGACGGGGAAATCAGCGCTCGAGTTCCCGATCAGCTCAGCTGCATCCAGTATGGGAGGCACGAGTGGCTCTCCGGGCACGTCGCTGTCGGCCATGGTCGGTCGCGTGAATTATGTGGGTGTGGGGTTGTCAGGTCGGTGGAAACGTGCTACGCCCACCATGTCTGGGACTCCCTTCACGTGCGCATCATGATTCTCAGACGGATCAGTTTGGGAGAGCGGCGAGGCAAGTGTCTTCACGGTTCAAGAAGGTGAGGTGCGCTGTGCATGCACGGCAGGTGGGATGCGCCGACCGCTAACGGATGGATAAGCAGGGCTCCGATTAGCGCGAATCCTGCTAAACATTCACTTGTTTCTAATGCCCGTATGTTGCAAGTCATCCAAACAACACAGTCTCATATTACTCATAACACAACTAGCGATGGGTATTGCGTACCGAAATTGATGTACCATTGCAGAACGCCCCCTTGCTGTAAAATGTGTCGCTAGCCCTCAGAAGGCGTAAGAGAAGCCCCGGTTGTCTGTATGGGAGAGGCCAACCCAGGCGCACCGCGATCGCTGCCGCCAGATGCAAACGAATAAGAAAACCCCGTCCCTAAAGAGCGAGCGATATCTCCACAGCTGTACGCCGAACATAACATAATCTGCCGCACTGCCAGTGCGGGGAATGAACAGTAGACCGACAGGTCGAGAAAAGAAGACCAGATATGTGTCTTCCGAACATGGCTATCAAGGCAAGGTTGCTATCGCGTCGAAGAGATAGTCGAAAAGCGAGGCTTCCTCCCAGTTCTACATGGGATTAGCTCCCGTCTGTTCGCCGTTCTCCTGGCGCTCTTTGATCTCGTCGGGTATGATGCCGTTGGCTTCGCATGTGCGCTTGTAGATATTGCACTCGTCCCACGCCCGTTGGCATTCGGCCTTGAACTTGTCGCAACTAGCGCTGAGCTCGGTGATGGCTTGCTCGGTGAGTAGCTTTTCAAGCGTCCACTTCTCAATGTTCTGTTGCTCGTTCTCCTTCAGCTGGGTAATGAACTGAACGGCCCGTTGCAAGATGGAGCCCTTGTTCTTTTCGCAGCCGGGGACGATCTTGGCTAGTTCGTTGATTCCCTCGTTGATAGTCTCGCGACGGCGGCGTTCGACTATGCAGCTGTTAGCAACTGTATTTAGGAGGGCTCACACGGGTGCCTACCTTCTTTGTGGTTGTCTCTCCGGACCTTGTGCCACTCATCTGTGCCGACTTGAGGTTTGTGCGCAGAGCTTTGCGGTGGCGAGTCGCTGGGTGCTGTTTGACCGGGACGACCCGTCTGTGTAGCTGCCTTCAGAGCCTCGAGACTAAAGTCTTGCATGCCCGTTTGTTGTTGGCCGTGGTCTCCCATGCTGAAGGAGCCGTCGCCTGAGTTCTGTGGCTGGAACTGGAGTTCTGTCGCCTGGGGGACCGTCATCTGGTGATAGGCAAGCGCGGCGGCGGCAGTGTCGCCGACACTCGCGGTGTTGGTCCCACCGTTGTGATGTACGTCGAACTGTTGCTGCATGTCGTCGTCGGCGGCGTTGTGCGCGGCGAGAAATGAGGCTGTGGCTTGGTCGGTGAGGTCGTTGTTGGCGGAATGGGGAGCAGGTCGGTTCAGGCCTTGGTCGCGCGTGTCGCGCTTCCGTTTGTTGGTGTGGACGTTGTGGGCATCCAGCTTGCCGTCGGTAGGGTACCCGGCGGTATCAGCCATGGTGTCTGGTGGGGTATCTGGAAGGGATGGGTAGAAGCAGCTGGAATCCGCGTGGGACGCTAGGATCGACGTCGAGGTTCTGCGCGTGGTTGCTGAGACGGCGAGGTCTGGGATGTACAGGACCAATGGTGAGTGAGGGCGCTGAAGTCTGGCTAGGACACAGTGCTCCTTTGGGCGACCAGGAGGTAGCCGTGAGTGAGTGAGTTAGGCGGGTGACGTATGGGAAGGCTGGTGAAAGTGGCAGAAAGACGCGCTCGAAGCGTGAGTCGCAGGCGCAACGCACCGGGGCGGGGGAGCAGCGGCGCTGTGCCCACCGGTTCACGCACAAGCCGAAGACGACTTGATGTAGCAATCGTGCGCTTGGGAAGCGCAATAGAGGCCTGCGTTCGACAAACATTAGCACGGGCGCGAGCAGGTGAGTAGGTCAAGGTGGTGCGACACAGCGCCAGCAAGCAGAAGGATTGGGCGCTTCCATTTGGCCGTTGTTGTGAGACGCAACTGTCACGACTCAAAAGAACGCCGTCGTATCGTGCGAGCGGTAGGAAGCGCACAATGGCGTCGTGCGTCGTGGTGGATGCGCGTCCATCGAGTGCGGGATGCCGACCGACAACACCGCGGAAAGCGAGCGGGCAGGCGCGAGGCCACCATGACGCCAGGTGCGCTTCTCAAACGACAGCCCGTGCAGGAGCGCAGGGTGGCATGTCTATGCAGGGCTTTCCGGCGGTCGCGCGAAAAGAGCCATGGTCACTTACCGATGGTACTGCGACGATGTTCCAAATGGATGTGGATGCGCGCGAAATCAGGTGACGGACGAAGGTGTAGCAACTTGTTCGGCCGGCGACGCTTGACAGGCTGGATGCACACTGAGAAAGAGAGAAAAGAGAACAAAAAGCTCTTACCTTTCTTGAAATTGCAGACTTTGGGCTTTTCTTCAGGCAGGATCGAACGACCAACTTCTGAGTTGAATCACGAGGAAGGAGCAGAGATGGTCACATGGCAGGAGCGCTATTTAGGAAAGGAAGGCACGACTGAGCCAGCCCACCCGCTCAGCCAATCAGCGTATCGCGACACGCCATGCAAGTTTCCCCACTCCCAGCCCGCCATCGCAACCACTACGTTATCACAGTCCTGCCGACGCGAGGCATCTACTCCGGAGTACTTAGAGCTTGCTATGCACTGTACGCTTTCGCATCACTCGCACCATCATGTCCTTAGCCACACAAGTACTTCGTTGCCCCCAGTCCCTCTTCGCCACCACGACGACAGCACCCCCGCCAGCCTCACTACGATACCAGCGTACGGATGACACCCCTCTAGACCACCTAGGCTCAGCCGACACCTCCAATACGCTTCACATGGCCTCAAACAGAGACACAGGTGTGGCATGTGACACGCTGCCCCCCACATTCTGGGCTATCGTCGACTACGCTATACCCTTTTTGTCATTGGTCCCATCATGCAATACACAACCATTGGGAAGATCGATTCTCACCTATCTTCTCCACTCTGCGCTCGAGTATTGATGTCTCAAATTACGCGCTGCTTAGTAAGTCTTGTTGTAGCTGTATCTATCTTTCGAACGGCTCTCGGCTCTCCTCGTCCTCTTGCTATCTCTGCAAGCATGAGGCCCAGTCCATTGCTTGCTGTTCGCTCAAGTGTGATCCGCGGAGACAAACCAAATGTTGATTTCGCATCGGTATAGAAAAATACAACCGAGACAGCCCGTTTGCATTTTCACTTTACATCTCCACCTAGATCATGGACAGTCCAGTGTGCGTGCTCGATGGACGTCTTCATATTATCGGTACAACACATCGAACGAGGCGGGCCAAATTGGGGGCATACAGGAAAAACCTGAACACTCTGGAGCCCGCGTCGCCTTCAGGTCGCCTGCTTTGGATGTTCTTACCTTAATGTGGGCTGCAGGCCTGTCCGAGTTTTATCTTATGCGAGATAGGTTGCAACAAATCCGATTTTGATCGGTAGATCTGAAATGACGAAACCGGTAGTGCTGGGAGTAGGTATAGTCCCTCTCCTCGGTGGCAAACGGCGAAATCACGTCAGGCTATGAAAATCCTGAACACCCTGGAGCCTACATTGATGTCAAGTCACTCACCTTGCATGATTTTGTCCTAATGTAGTCTGCAGACCTGTTTAGTATAAGCTAAAAGGCGCCTGTGTATTCATCACATATGCATGTCAATCTAAGAGAAGTCTAAACGCCCTAGAGCCTACATCAACGGTAAATCACCTACTTTGCGTGTTTTTATGTTGATGTAGCCCCCAGACCTATTCAGCTTTTTTCTTGTCTAAGGCGTGCGGCATGTTCTACCAGGTAGTCTTAAGAAGTAATGGTATGCAGTGAAACTAGGAAGGAATATATCTACTACAATCTACATCACTTAGAGAGGCTATTCGCTGAGCGAAGACGTTGAAGTAGACGAAAATCGCTGTTGTTAGACGAAGATTGTGAAGAGCAGTAAGCCAAGAGATAAAGCGAGTGGGCTTTGGAGACTGAAGGAAGGGTGTAGCGGTGTCGAACCCGCGAAGCATCTCGCTGTGACGAGAGTAGAGTTCCTCGACGTCAATGTGCGTCCAAGCATATCGCCCGATCTTGGTAAATACCGATGGGTAGAGCACTCCGAGTTGCGGGGACACGATAGCGGTTAAAGAGAACAAAACTTCTGGAAAGCGGTCAACTGTGTATCGCCAGGACTCATTGTTGGTTGTCAGTCCGTCCACGCCCGGAAAGAGGAATAAGACACGGATGCGCCGACCCGCCAGAGCCTGAACATGGTCAATGACCCTTCGCATTGTGTCGTAAACGCTTGCCACTCGCGCTGAATGTCCAGCTGAATTGAGAACTGGGAGTGTCGATGTGATGTACCCTAATACCAGTGGGATCCAGACCGGCCTAAAGCTTTGCATTGCTAGCGCTCCTTGCGTGTCAATCTTGTCGTGGGGTCTTGGGTAGTTGTTGAAGACTTGTTCCCATTGATCATACATCGCTTGTAGGCGTACATCGACGTCTTCCCATTCGTTGTGGAGGACTTCGGTGTCGGAGCTGATACCGTCCCGTGGCCTGCCCGAGCGACGGAAGCACGGAAGTACCAAATCGTATGTGCGTGTCGGGTCAGGCGCTGAAGCGCAAACGTGGAGATCTGTACCGAAGATGGCACGAGTCGCGGTGGCGCGGATGGTGGTGTGGTCCTCGAGGGCATAAAGCTCTGGGTGTACAAGCAGGAGTCGCGCGCAACCCTTTTGATACTTGCCACTAACAACTGAACCGTCGTTTTTGACGTACTGGATGGATCTGCTTGCGATGTTGGTTAACCCGACCCAGCGAGTTACCCCTCTCGCGAATGTTCGCCGTTTGAACCTTCGCGCCAGACGAGGACCAGGTACGCCGTTCTTTCTCCCCCCTAACAGCACTTTCAAGGCCTCAGGTTTAGTGAGCAATTCCGAGAACGATTTCAGCAAAAGATCGTGCTCATCTTGCCATGATGGGTCGACATGAGTCTGAAATAGGGATATGCGCTCAGCGTAGCCGTCGCTGCTGTCACTGTCATAGTCGTTGTCGTCGGGGTCCCTGCTCTTGTCGTCATTGTAGTCGTTGTCGTCGGGGTCCCTGCTCAAGTAGTCATTGTAGTCGTTGAGGTAGGGGTGCTTGCTCTTGTCATCGTTGTGGTCGTGGTGGTCGGAGTTCTTGCTCTTGTCATCGTTGTGGTCGTGGTGGTCGGAGTTCTTGCTCTCGTCATCGTTGTGGTGGTTGCCAGATAGATGCTCGATGTGCGCATCGAGCGCAGCCTGGCTCGAGCAGTAGGGGGGATCACGGCCGCTGATAGTGCTGTGTGCTTCGGTGAACAGCTCCTGTCGGAGTGCCATGCCAACCCTCAAAGCGTTGGAGGCCGACTTCGCGGGCTGGTCATTGTGAAGTAACGTCCTCACATTCCACGCTGTGAAAACGCCGCAGTCATCTGCCTTTTGCTGTATTGTGTCCTCGTATCTAATGGCCACTGTGTTCCAATCGACGTTCGCCAATCTCGACCGGGGGTGAGAGAGCGCCACCAGCGCAAGAAATTGCCGGAGCTCCTGCTCGAACATAGTGGTAGATTGGTATCTACGTCCTGTGTCGTAGACGTGCATAAGCCCCGCCCCAAAGTCCATGCATAGGGCATGCACCACTACCCAATGGCTGTTGGTTGGATTCCAAGTGAAGACGATGGACGCTGCGGCGTCGAGCTCAGGGAGGATGAAGACTGATTGCGGAATGAGTGACGTGATGTCGGGGCGTATCTCGGGGTTAGATGATGACTTGCCGATGGTTTCCATGTATACTGGACTGCTTGTAGCGACATACACGACCTCCGGTAAGTACCCCCGTGAACTGCCGCATCTCTCGACAAGGAAGTCGATAGTCGTGCCGGACAGCCACATCTTGGCTTGGGACACCTCGAGCATAGAGGCGAGGCTGATAGGCCACGGTCCGAGTGGAAGAAGAGTCAGCGGTATGGCACCGTCGGACTCTTGATATTGCTGCATTGCCATGTGAACAACGTCGCGGAGCATCCCCGCCCGTGGGCACGTTTCCATTCGGAGGGTCAGCTTCAGGATGTAATCGGATGCGATGTCCAAAACCTTTGCCATGGTGATCTGCATAGCGTTGATGTTCGACTGGCTTGGTGGCTGCGATAAATCGACAGTCAGCTTCACCTTTTTCCGAGACTCTGGCTGTGGGGGCTGCGCGCTGCTCTGACCGAACGGGATAACGGTGCTGTATCCTTCGGGGGTATTGATGTTCAGAGGAGGAGAGCGGTTATGCTGCATCTGTACGCTAGGTGTTGTAGTAGGTGCGGCGATGGTCGCTGGGATGGCGGTGCTGCATTCTTCGTCGTTATTGATGCTTGGAGGAGAAGAGCACTTGGTCTGGCGCTGTACGCTGGGTGTTATAGTAAGTGCGGTGATAGGCGCCAGTGCAGTGATGGGCGACGCTGCAGAGGCGGGTACGACGGTGGCAGTGGGCACTCGTGTAGCGATGTTGGCAGCGGTTGAGATAGGAGCTGCGGTTGGTATGGGCGCTGCGGTGGTGAAGGTCGCGGTGGTGGTGATCGGCGACTTCCGTGTAACGAATTCTGCTAGAGGTTCCTGTTCGTCGCCGGCTTTATGCTCAGTTCTCGGAGTCTTACTAGGCTTCGGCGTAGAGGGGGGCGGTGTCTTAGGTGCTAGAGGCTTCTTTCCGTCACCAGCTTCGTGCTGAGCTGGCGTAGTCTCACTAGGCTTCGGCGTAGAGGCGGGCGGTGTCTGGGATGCTAGGGGATTCTTTCCGTCACCAACTTCATGCTGAGCTGGCGTAGTCTCATCAGGCTTGGACGTGGAGGCGGCGGGCGGTGTCTTGGATGCTAGGGGACTCTTTCCGTCACCCGCTTCATGCTGAGCTGGCGTAGTCTCATCAGGCTTGGACGTAGAGGCAGCGGGTGTGCTGTTCTTCTTGTCGTATGCTTCTCTGTGTGTCTGGTAGGCCCGCGTGGCTCTGAACTTGTTGGCGGCGTTTACCTCCTCCCTCAGGAAGGGTTGGTAGTCCGGCTCTCGTAAGATCGATTCATGACATCAATCTCAAGGCGCTCTCGTCGGCTCTGGTAGTGAGACATGCTGGGCTGAATGGAGTGGGCAAAGCCAGGACTGGACAAAGACAACGCGGAAGAGAAGAGCAGAAGGGCAACGAAAGCGCAGCGAAAACACTCTCAATATGCTGTGGCCCCGCATTTTGGAATTGATTGTGCGCCATGTCTTTCTGTTCGAGGAAGCTGCGCAGGCGCAAATTTGCGGGGCGGTGCGTTGGAGGAAGTCGCGTTCGGGGACGACGAGCCGTACTGGGTATGGGATCCCATCTCACCCACATGGTGCCAGGTAGAGAGCGTCTGTCTGGCTGCAGACCAGAGGCATCATGTTCCGTAGAGCTTAGCAAGACAGAGTCCGCTTCACAGTGAGGTAGGTATGCTGGGGGTGCATTGGCGACCCGAGTGGATGCCTTTACAGTGTTAGTTGTCTATTAAACGCCATGAAAACTGCCACAAGGACGACAGCTAGCAAAGAGAGCCTCTTTCTTGTTTACCTGATAGTTGTAATGCAATACATCGTGCTGCAGCGCGCAAGTTAAGCCAAATTGGCCACAGCAACGAGCGCGATGCTTGCGATGCCTGCGATGCCTGCAATGCCTGCAATGCCTGCGCGCTGCAGCAGTTAGACGACTAAAGACTGCAGTAGCCGGGGAGCTGAAGATCTGGTGCGAGCACAAACATCCTAAGCATTGGGATATGTGGTACTTGAATACGGAGAGTTGTAGGTAGGTCGGAGTCTTCAAGTTAGATAGAGACCTTTACGGTTTAGCGGCTGTACCGAGCGTGGGTGACGTCATAGATCCTGCGCTGGGTTTAGACAAATTGTGAACGTCAACCAGGGTACGACGGATTACCGCTTACATCCAGCGAATCAGTAGCCACACCAACGAAGAACATTCATTCAATAATGTCTTCCAAACGCCCGTTCACCGACCGTGCTTTCTCCTCCCACAAACGTTCACGATCTGAGAACACTGCACACAGTGCGCCCTCTTTCTTAATAGAGACTGCACGTCTCTCTCTACATTTACCTTTTGCTTCTGCAGGAGATATACCGATCATGGAGCCAAAGATTGATACAAGATGCGCCTGGCGACTCGGTTGGCCCAGGCTGCGAAGCCTGCCACTGCAAAGTCTGCCAACGACCACCAAACACTTGTTCGCCCACCAACCCGCGATCAACAAAATCTTAGATACTCATAGCGTAAGCACTCTCGGTCCTGTTCGATACGTCGCGCGGACAAGACCTACAGAACTGGCCACCTCCCACCCAACGATCGTATTCTATACGGATCTCGGAGAGCCGCGCCAGTACGAGCACTGCGCCTCTGCAGTCCAAGAAATCGCTCAGTATATCCTATCCAACAACATAGACGCTTCGATCGAAGCTATCGACCGAGTGGTCGGCGAGAGCTTCACAGTCACAGCATTACAAGGACCGACGGCGGCAGAGATAGCGCGTTATTGGGCGAGCAAGAGACGAACCCTTCTCCGTACGATCGCGAATAGGAAGTGGCTGAGCCTTGACTGTGTTAATCTTGGAAAATCCACCGACGGTCTAAAACCTACTATCGTCATCACGGCATCAGACGCAGACGCAGATGTGTGGGACCAGATCATAGCGAGAATCAGCGTTCTCTTTGACTACAAGCTGGAGGTAGAGCTCCTGTACGGACCGCGCAGTAGGATCGATCTGGCGGATGCTGTGGGAGATACCGAAGAGGCGGAGATGTCGGATATTTTAACCAAAGTAGAGGAAGAGGCGGACTTCGCAAGCAAGGAACTGAAGAAACCTAAGGGTATCGCGAATGAGTTAGAAGACGAAGAATTCTGCCGTCCCTCGCATTTCTCTACTAACATCTACCCTAGTACATCTGTAGGAGTGAAGAGAGGCCTATTAGGAAGCGTTAGTAGATTCCTAAAGATCAAATTCCCTAGACTGCCTACTCCCGCTACCTAAGTCAGTCTAACTAACTTCTACGTACTATAGGGAGGTAACAAGAAGCTAGTGCAACCGCCTCATCTAAGGGAAGCTTCTTGCGGCTTGGTCACCGTAGTAGTACTATTAGATCGCGACAAGACCCAGTACGTCCGAAGACGCAAACTCATAATCAACAAACACAACAGATATCTCCGCGACGCAAGTTCGAAGCATCAAGCTGTAGAATCCGAGAGCCATCGGTTCAAAAGGCAGCAATGGCGAGAAGAAAGAGAAGAAGAGCGCAAAGAGCGTAAGCGGGTGGAAGAGGCATCCAACGTTGCAGGAACAACATGGGCAAGCTCAGCAAAAACCTCTCGTCCTCATCCCAGGTACACAGCGAAGCAGCATGAGAATTGGACGGAACAAAGCCGCAGTACCAACGATACAACCGAGGGCCCAGCCCTGGAGTGGGACATTGACTGGTCGCTATTCTCGATAGACGCACCTCGCTTGGCGGTATCAAAGACTCCGCGTTCAACTGATCACCGGCACTCTGCATCAGATTCGGAGATATCCGAATGGGGTTCGATACAAGAAGATAGAAGCTATGAGGTCGTCAAGATCGGTAGGACTTCAGGGTGGACAAGGGGAGTCGTCAACCGTGCAATGTCCATACTCAACACCAGCGTACATGCATTTAAGGAAGTCAACAACATAGGTGGGAAGACCGACACCTTCAAACCGGTACTCTGCCACTCCATAGTATCTACGATGCGAGACGGAGCCCCTTTTATATCCCCAGGGGATTCAGGTTCTCTCATCCTCCTTAATGAAGGACGTCACGACAACCAGGCGTGCATTGTTGGCCTCGCTATAGGGGGTAACAAAACAACAAACATCGGTTACATGGCACCGATTGACCTGATATTGATGGACATTGAGGAAAAGGTGCAAGGAAAGGTAGTATATCCAGTGTCGGTGGGTATTAAATTGGGAGCGGACATGGACTCTTGATCGGTCCGGCGAGTAAAGAAGTATGAATATGAAGTAACGCATTCAGGAACATCCATGTCTAGAGGGTGATGGATGTAAGCAGCCAAGAGTCTACATTACGTTGGAATTTTGCCAGTTTCTGTTCTAATACTAATGTAGACTGCAGCTCACCTCTACAGTTTAACCTTTAAATGCGCTAATAATGCGAGAAGTTTAGGTTTTAATAGACAAGTTATCTACAATATAATAATAATTAAGAAATTTGACAACGATAGTACATAGTTAAGCTCTAGCGCATGGGGCTGATGTTATAGGAACAGAAACGGTACTCCAAGAGAGGAGGTATGGCGGTACCGTCCTGCACCAGGAGAAACTCATGCCTGGCGGATGACGCGATTAGCCGGCTACCGCCAGTGCGAAACTCGACGACGATGGGTTAGGAGCGAAGAAAGGGCACATTGCGGGCGCTGTAGTTATGGTATAACCAAAATGGGTATAAACTAGGGCTAGACGTTGGGACGATATGGCGTATTAGTTTGTACAGGCCAGGGGATGGACACCCATGGTGATCCCAGCTTGAAACCGGGCAACGGGCTGATGCGGGACTTGGTTGGATGGGGACATAGGGAGTTCAGAAGTGGAGCAACGCCCGCGGCGCTGCTTCGCACCACTGCAGTGTCAGGGAATGAGGCGGATCAACCAAGATATCGCCACGCACCTTTTCCATGCAAAGAAGGATGTTTGGCCATGTAAGAACGCAGGGCAATCAGACGAGGAGGAAAGTCATACCGTAGGATAACCTCGTAGAGCGGACGGATCGTCACTAGATATCATAGACAAGGGGATGGGACTCGGCGTCTTCCCCATCCCCACCCCCACCCCTCGAACGACTCTCAGTATAGCACCACCAGCACTACAGCATTACAGACTCTGCTTCGGCATCCAATCTAGTCCTTTATCGAGAACAACATCATCATCGGCGCAGCAGTATGAGCCAAAAGAGAATATTAGAAGATGCTGAAGTCGCGCAGGTGGAAGACACCAGCTGCAAACGTGCCAGAGTAGACTCGTCTACGCCCTACCCCAGAAGAGACGTCAACGCGAAGAGGAGAGAGACTGGACACAGGAGCGACCCGATCCACATCCAGACATCTTCTCAAGGCGCCTCCTCTGTCGTTCCACCGTCCACGCCATTATGTCGAAATGACCTAATGCCTCCGCCGTTTCCAGACCCAAAATTCGCCAAAGCCATTTTGTCTTCGGACTACGGATCGTTTCCGCAAGAGACCCAGTCGTCACAATATGGATCCTTTCCAGTGCTCTCGTCTCCATGCGCGTCCCACAGACCTCTCCCACTTCCACACCACCAGTATGAAGTCTCTTCTTCTCTGCCATGTCTCCCACAGCAGGGCCGGACAAGAGAGTCACAGGGAGTATCGTGCGCAGATACAGGCCCCTATCTGACTAGTCTGCTCGCCGACTACGAACACGTCGGAGAACCAGACCCCACATACATTCCAACAACATGCTCGACAAGCAGGGGAAGTGGCAACGAGTTCGCAACACCCTATGCGACTCCATTCAAAGAGAGGACCGCTGTGGGGTCTGCTCGAGAATGCGCAGCGGCCGGTACCCGTACAGGTCTTGACGCCAGCGATATGGCGAGCTGCGGTGGTCACAGGAACCCGGTGGAAGAAGGAGAGGACTAAGAGAAGGAAGAGGACCACGAGGATCAGAAGGACGACGGAGATGTAGATGGCATGGACACCGCGCCTCTCAGGCTATGCATTGCTACCCTCTCTACCTCTACTTCGCACAGACAAGAACATGGTGACATGGATATAGATATCGCGCCTCTTAGACTATGCATCGCTACCCTCTCTACCTCTACTTCGCACAGAAAAGAACATGGGGACATGGATATAGATATCGCGCCTCTTAGGCTATGCATCGCTACCCTCTCTACCTCTACTTCGCACAGACAAGAAGCTGGGGACATGGACATGGATGTCGCGCCTCTTAGCCCATGCATTGCGACCCCTCCTCTACCTCTGCTTTGAACGGTTGAGAAGCTGGGGCCGTGGACGTTGGCAGGCGGCGGAGATGGTGCGAGACGAGCAGACGCAAAGGACATCAAACATCAATCGCACACTAGCCAGATCAGTAGCAGGAAGTGCATTATTTGCTAGAATACATCGTGGTTACCTCCGTCATGTCATTGGCATCACCCGGCGCCTCTGCTGGTCCACAGCAACTCCATCCTGCTCGCCGTGTACGCCATACCAAAGAAACAGCCTATGCTGGGATGCAATCGAGTGTGACTGGGCCACTGCCTCTTCGATTCCCAGATACCGTGCCGTCTGCATCGGTCGCCTCGCCGTTTTCCACCCCTCATGCCCTCCGCCCAGTCTATAGTAGTCTCCACCATCCATAGTGGTTGTATTCACCGTCGTCCGCTTTTCCTCGGGCGCTTACGCGGGGTCAGACCACCCAGAGGTTCTCCTTTCCCACCAGATTTCATCTTCCGCTTCAGCTGATCTGTCGAGTTCTGCGCACCATGTACAAGGATCTATTTTCAATTAGTGAAGGCAAAACAACTTCGAATGTATAACGAACATTCACATTGTCCTGGACCAGGAACTCGATATCGTACGCATACGGTTGTCTCCCCTCTCGAATTGCGATTTGCAATCGCCTATCGTTGTCGATCGGACTCCAGACTCCAGGTTTGCTCTGCCATGATATCTTAAGCTTATCGGCATTTCTCTTCTTCTCTTCTGGCGTCTCTCCGGGGAGCGAGGGAAGATTATAGAGTTTGACCCTTGGAAGTTCGAGCCTCAAGCTCCCAGCTTTGATGTCCTCGTGCAGGTTGGTGGTTGATGTATCAGATAGAAGCTCAGTGCAGCGGAATGTGCATTTGTCGCCATCTGGTGATGTGCCATCGTAGTATGCCAAGGTAACCTCGCAATGCCTCATCTGATATAGGCCTTTGAACTTCTCGTATTGCAAGGCGGGATTCAACCTCCACGCAATCTTGTCTGTTCCACCAAGAATGCTCCCTGTATCCGAAATAGTCATGTCGGGGTTGTCTTTCCACCACTCCGCCACTCTGCGAATGAAACTGCTCACCATACTCTCCTTCCAAGCTACCGGAGCATTCGAGGCGCCAGACAATAGGTCCATGGTCATGATATCGTCGCGCAGCCAATCTCCATGGCGATGCATGAAGTCGTACAGGGAAAGATTTGGTAACTTGACAGACCTGTCATCACACAGAAGTCCTCTGCGGAATAGAGCAATCGTGATATCATTCTGAAGCTTGTACCATTCCCCGATGGTGATGTTGAATCCCACCGTGAAATCCTGGTCGCTGTACTTTGGCTTGTGGATTCGACCATCTGTGTGCGCATCTGAGTTGTCGTAGAAGGAAGTTTCCGGATATGGGTAGCCGGCGCGCTCGACATAGTACAGGGGATTTCGGGGGTCCGACGGCAGTAAGGTTTTCTTGACAACCACAGGACGCACATCACTGTTGTCCTCGAATTAGTGTATTTTCTAAGCATACAGAGGGGGTAATGCCTCTTACATCTCGTCAACATCCGACATAGTAAGATTGACACCGAGATCTTTACAACCAGTTGCTCAAGACCCTTGAGTCGTATGGGATGCAAGGTCTGTGGTATGAACGGTCGCGGTACCAGGGACGGGTTCTTGAAAGCTGTCTTGACTGGAAGTATGGACAAGCTGCGCGCGAGCTTATCATTCGTAGTATGATACTGGAAGATCTGTGGCTAAAGAGGTCGAGTCGGTGTCGGTTTGCCGTATAGAGATGGCGACGAGCGGTGAACGAGAAAGTGAGTGCAACTTTTCTCACGTTGTGCGCGCTTGCGGGTAGATGATTGAAGTGTCAACCTAGACGGAACGAAGACGTGAAATGAGAAAATCGCTGAGCAGAAACACGCACTGATGATGAATGGGCGCATTGACCACATTGGGCGAGCAAAGATTACCTAATCAGCGGTGAGTAGAGAGCTCTCACACATGTGCCTGCGACACACCCTCATCTATCACCTGGCCCACTAAGGATTACCTTGCTCGACCCTCAAAGTCCTCTCCAACAATTCCAGACATGACAGATCCGGGTGAAGCCGAGCGCCAACTCCAAATCTGGCGTAAGTTGCGACGCAAGAATAGAAGACGGATAGGCGATCGTGCTGACAAAACACAGTCAATGCGAGTCCCCACTTCATGAAGAAAGACAACGCCGCGTACTGTACACAGGCAAAAGTAAGCGAGATTGTGAAGAGCGGTCATGTCTTCCAGGATCCCCTGCTCCAGAGCATCGCTCTGACAGACGGCGGAGCACGACATATCCGGAAGGTCCTTTGTGGAATGATGTGGCCAGATGACACCAAGGAACCGATAAGGATTGGATACTGGAACGAAGAAGACGTGACACTGAATAGCCTTGTCTCCCCATCAGGCGATCACACTATAGAACTACCGCGAGATGCCAGGAAAGTCGCGGCGGTGATAGGGCACTATATCCAGGATAGGATATCGAGACCTTGTTTGTCTGAGCCCGAAGTGTGCTCAAACTGCGACGAGAACCCAACAATGCCATCCTACCTGTTGCCGGGTTGTCGCCAATTCGCGGAGCCAACGAGAACGAAAAGACACCAGGCGTGCACGAATTGCATACTCCAGGAACGAAGATGCAGTCTGGCCATTTTGGGTACGTTACCACTTCTGAAGAGTACGATGATCAATAGTTTGCTGACTGCCTTCCTGTAGAGGACTGGGAAGAAGAGTGGGGAGGGGAGAGTAGCAGACCGATGTCAATCTTCGAGAGGGATGAAGGGCTGAACATTGGTGCTCACCATGAGGCAAAGCTCGACATCGACTCCGCCAACAGATCCGCATCCCCAGAGCAAGAGCCAGCAGGTCAATATGATAAGCGCCAGGCGACTGATATCAGAGACAAGCCCCAAGAGCTGCCGACGCAGGCCCACATACGCGATACCCAGGCAGCGCACACAGGCGCCGTCGACTTGACCCAGTCAAGCCTTGCATCCAAGTCAAGCCGCGCTTCTCCTCCAGATAGGTTCAAGTCGCCGACGGCCCAGACCAATCCGGCGACACACAGCCAGACCGCCGCGCTCGCGCATGGAGCAGATGGAAGCAGTCGAGAGAACACGGAAAGCAAAGTGACTTTCGAGAAACCAGCCCAGTCCGCCAGCAGGATGGACAACGAAGTCAAATCCAATACACCTTTGCCGGCCCGCTTGAAGCGTTCGACAACACATGTACCCAAGTCCTCGGTGGAGAAGATCGTGGACAGCGCGCATGCGAATGCTCAGACAGACATGGTAAGCCTCCCTAGCTACCCATACCGCCTCCCACCACTTGCGGTAGACGTCGACGCGTGAGTATGCTAACACTCACAGGCATCTGGCCAGCCGGCCGAGTTACACGACAACAATCTGCAAAGCATTCCGTTACGAAGTTTAGATCTGAGTATCTTGCCACGCTCCTCGCTGGTGAGGAGGCTGTATAGTCCGATGTACGACTTATAATTGAGAGAACCCACGAAGCGTAGCGACACCAGGCTGAGCTTCTCTAGACGGGAGAGAATACGCTTGAAGAGGCTTGTTCCACGATCGGTATCCAATACAGTGATCCGAAGATGCCGAGTGAAACGCAAGTTTCCGAGAATAGTCGAGAATTGAGTGGGAGTCATCTTGGACGTTATCCGGCCGACCACGATGTCGATGTCCCGGAATCGTGCGTCCGTCCCAACTCGGTGCATTGCCTTGCAGGTCATGGACAGTTGCACTTGACTCTCCTTTTCGCACTACCCAAGTTAGCTTCAACACTCTGCTGGAGCGCCAGTCACGTTACGACTGAGTTTGAGCGAATGACAGGGAGTACTTACATAGTCAAACATCATCATAATCAGTTCATCGGGAAGATCTATGGCGGTCGCATACAGTGTAGTTACTGGAGGGGCGGCCAACGCTTTGCCGGAGCGAGCCGTACTACGAGTGAGCCTATCCCTCGCTGCCGCGCGCCTTGCCTTCCTTGCCTTGGTCCTGGAGGCGGCGTTTTTTTCCGGGGCATTTTCTGCAACCTTGCGAGTGTCATGTCGCACTGTCGATGTGGTTTCCGCCGTGCGCTTCTGCGTCTGCTTCTGTTTCTTCTTGTCGTCGGTACTTGGCGAGTAAGATCTGCGTCGCTTGTTGAACTTGATCGATTGATGGTGGCCGGGAGCCATGGCGGGTATTCAGTAAGGGGGATAAGGTACGATCTCGGTGTCAGTGGTTCAAAGAACGTAGAGCACGCCAAGTAGAGGAAGGAATTTCAGTACGTCTGTGCGTCTAGGCACTCTTCGCGGTGCAAGTGAATAACGTGATCGAAATACCTGACGGACGTGGTGGAGCACGAGCCAATACGGCCGCCGGGGTCCGACAGGCTGCAATAAGAACAAGACTATCCCTCCTGACTGTCCTTTCTTTCCTTCCCTCCGCCCACCTTCCCACTTCTCTTCGGTACCCCTGAGTACCTCTTTTGTTCCGAAACCTTCGCTCACATGGATGGATCGCACCGTTTACGGTGTAAGTCGAACCGTCCTACGAGGCCCATCATGCTGCCCCCAGACCTGATGGTCATACCATGTGGACAAAGGGCCCGCTACGCTGTATGACGGGTTCTTGCCGACATCTGTGAGAGCGGGCTCCTCGTGCGGGTGTTATGGGTAGCCACGGACCGAACGGAAGAAACGTGCGCTTGGCCGCTCATCTGGCGCAAGAGTTCTTGGAACTACGTTCCTTGGGCTGGACCTTGAGCACCCAACTGGGCGAGGACGTTCAATACCCGCGAGACGGACGTGAGTGACGGTACCACACGAAGGTCTCGAGACCTAGGCGAGAGCGTGTTGGGGCTCTTGCTGACGATCGAACGGCGCATCCCAACGCGCTCCGATGCGCATCTTGACATATAGTAAGCCCCCAACTCTTGCTTTTGCGAACACATAACCCCCCAATAGATTACCCGACCCCCGGGCCAATACAACGGCGGAAATGTACGAACGGAGGTCTCACGAGAGCCTAGGTGCGAGCTGCATTGGGGGCTCGTACTGACGAAGCGGAGGATAATTACCCACCCTTTTTTCGTTGATTCTACTGCTTCATGCAGTGTGTTGAAGAAGAGAGCTACGCAAGGGTCTGTCAAGAGCATAATACTGGTGCCCTCAACTGGGTGTGACAATACGCTCACAACTCTCACCCGGTGAAGAAAGAGTCCACGTCACCGATCTGTCAGAAGGAGGGAACATGGCAGGCATAAAGCTGGATAATTGGACGATGCACATGAACGCTACGAAATGAGACAGAAGGCAATGCAAATGAAAGCAAGGAGCGAAAAGAAAGATTGTGTGATGGCCGTTGAATTCGAGCTGTCTTTGGGTAGCTGCTGTCGTATTGATCTTGGATGGGAGGAGGTTGGAACACGGCCCCGAGATGTTGACGCGCGAAAATGCCACGCTATGACGTCATCACTGCGCGTCACATCTACGCGAACATCGACGTTCCATTAGGCGTCTACAGGTTTCCACACAATCATTGCTGTGTGCTATTGCAGATCTCGGTAGTAATTCAGTTATCATTGCACTGCCGGACCCCTTCGCTGTACGTGGCTACGTCGATTCATTTCAGCGCAATGGTGCAAAGAAGTTCCTCCCCAGGTCGAATGTCATGGGTTAGACACCGAACTCTCTCAAGCAGATGCAACGGCACTCAAGGCACGAGAGGCGGACGTCATACAAGCAAGGTTATAGTCATCCTTGTCTAGCTAATGTTCTGCAGTGTATTGCTCCTGTCAGTTGCTGAACTAGTCAGCATGGCGATCGAAGAACTCGTTGCAGTAGCCAGTGAAATGATTACGTCGTTTATATACGACACGCGATACCAAGATCCAAGGGACTGCATGCCGCAAGTACAGGTACTTGTGAACGAACTTCGCTCTTTCGCTGACGGGCTTGAGTCTCGCGCACTCGGATTGGGGGCTGGGCCTGGTCTGTCCCTTGCTCAGTCTGCCCTGAGAAGTACACGGTTCGCAAAATCCGCAAGATGGACCGGAGATCGAGTCGCTTTGGAGATGGCGCATCAGAAAGCTACTTCATGGGATACTACTAATTATCCCGGTCTTTCGCATGTACTGCAGATAAAGCTGCTTCGCGATCAGCTCCATCTGCTGATAGACAACGCCGAGCTATTTCTCCTGTATAGACAAGGCTTCCTAGTTGCAATCGACGGTATTTTTAATCAGCAACAGATGCAAGTCTCAACGTCACCAGTGATGTGGGCTGCTTTTGCTAGACATGTTCACAACTTTACATTTAATATACTAGCACTAGACAAACTAGATAATCTAAATAATTAACTAGATAACTTATTACTTATAATAGCTACTTAGCTATCTTTACTATATTTTTTTACTTTTTTTATTTATACTAATATTAAATAAAAATCTTATATTTAGCTAAAATAGCTAGTACTTACTTATATTATACTTTATTATTAAATATAGCGTCTAAAATAGCTTACTTATAAAGTATTAGCTAAGAGCTTAGTAGCTAAAGTTAATAAACTAGATTTAATACTACTACTTTTTTAGTAATTAAGAAGTTCTTAGCTACTAAGTTATTACTTATAAAATATTAGCTATATATACTATATCTATATTTTTAGTATATATAATATACTTTAGATTTTTTTAAGAAAAAAAAAGTACTTTCTAGTATTTTAAATCTTTATATAATATAATAGTATAGTAATAAAACTTTTAAAAAAGATAAGTTTAAAAATAATAATAAAATAGTAATAAGTAAATTTTAGCTTTACTATTTTTTTTTTTTACTATAGTAGACTTTTTAAAGAATAAAAGTATTATTAAAATATTAAATAGTAGTAATATACTATAAAAGCTAAGCTTAGTAGCTAAATTAATAGTAAGTATATTAAAAGCTATAGTTATATATATATAGTATACTTAAAAAGTAGTACTTATAGTAGTTACTTTTTATATTTTTTTCTTTTTAACTTATACTTATATATAATTCTTTTTCTTAGTTACTATTTACTTTATTTTATAGTACTATAATAATATAAAGTAAAATAAGCTACTATAATAGTTTAGTTCTCTAGACATTAGGCCTATATTAGGCTAATAACTCTATATATATATTATTACCTCTAAGTACTTTTTATAAGTCTTACTATAATAATATTATAATTTAATATAATATTATTATCTAATCTTTATATAACTCTTATATATTATTATAGTTAATACTATGTTTTTAAAAAGTAGCTTAGCGCGTTAGCTAACTACTTCTAAAATTATAACTATATTATTACTAATTCTCTACTTACCTAGTAGTAGAAATATATTCTATATTACTTTCTACTTCTCTAGTTCTATTTAAAAGACTATTACTAAGGTTACTTTATTACTTATAATACCTATTACTATCTCTAATATACTCTTATTTACTAAACCTACTATAGTTTCTACTATCTATAGTTAGTGTATAAATTAGTTTTAGTCTTAGTCTTAGTTCTTTTACGCTACTATATTAAGTAGTACTTAGAGATTACTTACTACTATAGCGTATAATAGTTTCTAAAACTTATATTAGTTTCTTTCTTACTTATATAGTAGTTCTAATCTCTATAATAGTAGTCTTTTTTAGTTCTTTAGCGCTTTCTAAAATAACTTCTAAGTTAACTCTACTATAAGTAGTAGTTATATTCTTAACTCTAATAATAAAAGTAATAATAAAGCTAATCTTACCTAGATCTATTATTATCTTATTAAAAATAATAACTATAATAACTATAGTAACTTAGTTAAGCTCTATAAGAGCATCTTCTTTACTAACTTACTAAGTAATATTACTAAAACTTATAGTAGCGCCTAGCTACTATACTACTTCTCTTTTAGTAAGCTTTTTACTTATATTACTTATAGAAGTACTTACTACTCTAACTCTTTTAGTTCTTAAGCTACTACTACTAGTAACGCTACTATTAACTTACTTTAGTTTAACTAAAGCCTTTAGTAACTCTACTAGTAGAGTCTAATATAAGTAAATACTCTAGCTTCTATTAATAAAAAGATTCTATAGTTCTCTCTATCTCTAGTTTAAGAGTATACTTTAGTAGTACCTTCTACTACTTACTATAAAGTTATAAACTTTATTATTTTAAAGTCTAATCTTTTAAAAAGTAGTTACTTTATTTTTACTATATATAAGTATAATACTAAGAGTAAAGCTAAACTTATTAGTAATATAAATAAGACTCTCTTTAAAAAAAGCTACGCTCTTACTATAAAGAAGAACTTTAAGAAATATAAGTTTTACTTTAAT